GACCTGTGTGTTTTGTTGGGAAATATTCTCTTGTTTTTTCATATTATTTGTGTTTTTGCACTGTTGTTTGGGCAGGTGAATGTTCTTTGTGTGTCTGGTAGGAACTTCTAGTCTGCCTTTGTTTCATTGAATTTTGGTTCTGTTTATATTGTTTCTGTAGCTTGGTTGCTTTTTGTTCAGGTATGAAAAATAAATTGGTGTGTGTTTCAGGTTCTTGCAGGGTAGTAGACTGTTCTTGGTATTTGGGACAGGGTAGTAGGTAGGCTGGTCAGGGTAGTAGGAGGGCTGGGCTGTGTCAGACAGATCAGGAGCCATGGAATCTATGCTAGGGGATTTAGCTAGTCTGGGTTAAGAAGCTAGTCTAGGGATCTAAGGCAGAGGAATTGGAGTGGGTAGGTCCAAGCCAGCAGTGGGCAGGGTGGGGGTGTAGTAGGTTGGAAGTATTGAGGATGCAGAGGAATGGAATAGAGATGTGGTGGGGGGATCTGACTTACCAGAGTCCAAGGGGCATGGGTTTGTTGGGCAGGTCAGGAGGCAGCAGAAATGGGGTGGGGGACACTGAGGAAGGATTTAGCAATGAATGCTAGGAGGTTTAGTAGTCTGGACTGGGAAGTTAAGCCAGGGATCAGATGCAGAGAATTGGAGTGGTCCTGGGTCCAGGGCTAGCAAGCACAGGGTAGGGGTGGAGTCAAAATCAACAAAAATTTTAACATTTGAGTGAGCATATAAAGCGATGAGCATAATTATGACATTTTCATGCGTACATGCTAAAATACCTTGTTTTAATTCATTGTAATTGCCTCTTGCGGTCTGCTCCCAAGGATATGGGGGAAAATGAGCCCTTAGAATCTCAACTTCTATGATCATATATTATATTGTATAATTCTGTGATTCAGAATCATATACTATTTTTCATAACCAAATATTAAAAATATATGACCTCTCAAAACAGAGAATAAAAACACATATGATTCTTATGGCAGCTGTGCCTGCCACCAGCAATATTTAATGAACTTTTTCTTTTTTTATTGATGGAAAGTATTCCTATGCATAATATTAATGAGATATAAATGTAGTCAGTAATGTCTTTGGAAATAATATAGACAGTGCTATCTTTGTCATGAAAAATTTGTGCTGAAATACCAGGCTGTTATACATGCATTTTTGTCAGCACTATCTCTTCCCTACCCCTCCTCCTCCATCCATAAAAACACTCAGTAACCAGACCCTAAACACATGTGTGCTACCTTTGGGTATTTATTTATTTTTTGTTTTAGTGGTTTGTTTGAAGAAAGAAAGAATAATCACATCTTAAGGTTGGAATGTTCTATGGAGCTCTCTGTCAAGAATGAACTTTGAGTTGCTAGGCACATGTGTATTTATGGGAAGAACAGGCTGACTGAGACTGGGTGGCAAGCTTCACTTTAACTTTCCCAACACCACCTGCCTTAGACGGAAGAGAGCTGAGGGTCAGGAGGGGAAATGTTGCATCCGCCATGCTTGTGACTCACATTCTGTTTAGTGACGGTTCACCTGTTCCCACCTTTTGGCTTAATATTGTCCTTTCTTCTTCATGTGGTTCCTTTGACTGCAGTCTGAGACTTTAGTTAAAATGCTGCAAAAAAAAGGGGCAAGAAATAGAAGTTGCTAACAGGAAAATGCAGTCAATGTGTTGAAAAGCTTGGCAATCAAGGAAGTATGTGTCCTGATACGTCTCTTAGGAATATGGAGTTGCCTCTTTTGGCTTTGTATTGGCCCAGGGACTGGTGAGCACTTTAATACTCTAGCATGGAAACAAGACAGGGAATTACGAAGTATCCAGCTTCTTGGCCTCTGGTTATCTTTGTGGGTACGCTGACGATGCTCTTCATCGATTTTCCCGTCTCCAAGTTAGCTCACCTGACTTGCCTTGTTCCTTTTTTCCTCCTTTAAGTTTTCTTTATGTTGTGATTTGTGTATTCATCGTATGCTTTGAATCTTCAGGCATCTGTCTCAAAAAGTGTAAAGTGTAAACCAAATGAGATGTCTTTTTCCTAGAAAGGATACAGATTCCTGAAGGGAGTGGGGACAGGAATTGGAATTGTACTGCAGCCAGCAGAAAGAATAATTTCTTAGAGAGAACTCTGGACTTGGGAACCCAGAGATTTAGCTTTCTTTTTCCATCAAAACTGACTTGTAAGCTCATGACATTGGCTAAGGTATTTATCCTGTCTGAACTACATTCTTGCATCTCTGAGAAGTTGAAATGTAAGTTCTGTTTAAGAACTCACTGAAATGCTTGTAGAAAGCAGTCCCCCCCCCCTTTTTTCTTGATTTAGAGGCATTTGGCGGGATGCATGTTCCTTTTTTCCTTTGAAGAATTTTTAAATCCTAGAGTTGGAAGGAATCTGAAGTCTTGTAGCTTTTCAGCCTCTGAGATAAACCAGTCACTTTGATTGTCTTCATTTTCACTACATCCTCTGAATGAAAGGCATTAGCGCTTTCCTAGGAATAAGGTGTTTAGGACAACGAGGAAATTGACTCAGAATCTTGGTTTATCACCTAACGCACAGCTGCAAACTTGAATGCCGATACAAGCTAGCCAGGTAATATAAGTGAAGAGACCCACAGTGAGGTCATAGGGAGTGCCAGAGACTGTGGAGAGAGGGGAATGCATTCCCTGAATACAGAGACTGGCTACTCTCAAATTTTAAAGACATCGGCTAGACCCAGTAATATATAGCTCCCCACGGCAAAGGGCTATCGTTGTTGGTGGACTGTTTTTATTGAAACAGCATTTTTTTTTTTAAAGATAGGGTCTTGCTGTAACCCCAGCTGGCCTGGAACTCACTATGGAGACCAGGCTGGCCTTGATCTCACAGAGAGCCACCTGCCTCTGCCTCTCCAGTGCTCGGATTAAAAGCATGTGCCATCATGCTTGATATTGAAAACAGCATATTCTTATTACTAGGAAATATAAGTTGAGGCACTCACATAGTTTATAGTAAATGTGTTTACAGAGGATTTACAAAGGCTGTTTTTCTCAAGTATGTGATTTGTGTAGTCCTAATAGACTTCCTTTCTATGTGCCTCAATACTTTTCCATTCTCCTTTAAAAGCATTTCTTTATTCAAAATTATTAATTCTTGCAAGTTTTACATTTTTATGACCCAAAACCTCTTTTGAAGATCCTTCCATTGTGGCTAGCTACCCCCCTTCCCCCCGCAATACTTGTTTTGAATACTTTGTTTTTGTGTGTGTTTAATTCTACACTTACAAAGAACTTTACCTGTAAGTTTAACTTGAATCAGCATGTTGTATCTTCCTATTTTACTGTTGGTGGAGAAGAATAACTGTTCTTCCTGTGATGACCTTCATATTAGTTAAAAATAGTACCCCAAATTCTGTACAAGCCTGCAATTTTTTACATTTATTTATTTGTGTGTGTGTGTGTGCGTGTGTGTGTGTGTGTGTGTGTGTGTGTGTGAGTGTGTGTGTACACCAGTGTGACCCACGGCATGTGTATAGAGGTTAGACAATAACTTACAGAAACTGGTTCTTCCACTGCATGGGTTTTCTAGGGATTGAACTCAGGTTGTCAGGTTTGGTGACAAGTGCTTTTACTGCTGAGCCATCTCTCAAGTTCAAGTCTGGAAACTCTTATCATGGATTTTGTTTTCCAGTGCTCTGATAATTGCAATTACTTTTTTTTTCTGGACTCTTTCCAATCTGTACACTAAAAGAAATAATATTCTGAACTCTACCCAGTCCTTTTCTGGTCTGATTGAACTGCGAGATAGTCCTGCAATCTCATTACTTTTGTCAGAAAGCCCCAAACAGCCAGATCATATTCAGAGTACAGTCTGTGACCTCAATATCTTTCTCCCTATGCTGGTAGTGTTGTGGTCATAATTTTTTATATTTTATCCACATAATTCATTTCTAAGTTCACCACCTTTTACTCACTGCTAATAAGTACTGTGTTGCTTTTGATGGGTCATTTCTAACTCTGATTTGTCAGTGTTACTTCGAACCTTATTTTATTTCAGAAAAACTAGAAGACTTCACTGAGCTTATAGCCAAAATTGACTGAGAATGTTTTTCTTTCCTTCCTCCCTCCTTCCCCTCCCTTCTTTTATTTTTTTGCTATAGGATGTTGTGTAACTCATTGTTTTCAATTTCATTATAAAGTCATTGATTTAAAAAAATAGAAAAAAACTCAATTGTATAGGACCCAGGATTCTGTACGCTGGGTTTCCTTTTTGTGTTTGGTGTACATGTGTGTATATATGCATATTAACATGTAGTTTGGGTACATAGATATGCCAGTATGTGTGTATGTAGGCCAGAGGTTGACATTGGGTGTCTTCCTTGATCACTCTCCACTTTATTTTCTGAGTCAGGGTCTCTCTGTTAAAGCCAGAGATCCCTATTTTGGCTGTCTAGCTATCCAGCTTGTGTTGGAGGTCTTCTGAGTTCTGAGATTCCAGGCTGGCTACCACGCTCACCTGGCTTCTATGTGTGTGCTGGGGATCTAACCCAAGCACTTTATTCACTGAGATAGCTTGCCAGCCCACTGGATACTGTTTTGTAACTCACCCAAGTTATGTGAAGCCATTTCTTTCTGTGACTATTAACTCATGGTTTTCTTGTTGCTAGCTGTTTCTTAAACATCCATGAACATTGATAACACAGTTTCTTGCTTGATTATAGAAATTAGACTTGGATGATCTAGAAAATATACCCCCCAACACATACAACTTGGGGGTTGTGCTTGCTTTTAGTGGAGAGAGGAAACCCAGTAATTGTTTAATACATGCATATAGCTTAGCAGCCCTTTATTTCAGATATTTTGTAAAGTGAGAGAAAATAGAGCCTTTAGATTAAGTATAAATATCTATCATATAGCTATTTTTTGTGTGTTGGACTTTGAGAACATCTGTCCTTTTATTTAAATTTAATAGTGTCCTATTTAATATAAGACTATAATAAGATGCAATTTTTTGTTATTGTCATTACAGGTTTGGGGAAGAGATCATGAAGTTTGAAGAAGTTACATTTTTGACATGATACTTGAAGTTAATGACTGCCTACCACATTTTTACGAAAATTAAATATGACTTAGAAGCTTGAAGGTTTATGATGTCATCAGTTTCGACAGAAAGCAAACTCCAGCAGGCTGTGAGCCTGCAGGGAGTTGACCCAGAAACATGCATGATTGTGTTCAAGAACCACTGGGCACAGGTAATGTATGAACTCCACCTTCTCTGCTGGTCTCAATAGCCCCAGGGCCTCTGTCACACTCAGCCAGAATTTCCTAGCTCTGTGACAGATGACTGGGCTTCCAGAAACATTGTATGGGAAGACCCTTTCAGACAAGAAGAAATGCAACTTTCTTTTGGTGCTTTCCTTTAATAGGTATCTGATTAAAAAACAGTTTTCATAAAAGCAGTTAGGGAACATGCACATTCCTGTTTTTAGTAGAACAGCAACTGTTCTTTAAGGCGCCTTTTATATCACTTTACAATATACTTGACCACAATTATATTCCCTCCCTTTCCCCTTTCCCTACTGATTCTATCCAATCCTTAAATTTAATAATATTATAATACTTGTTTATCTAGCATTTACTAAGTACCATGTCAAGTACTTCAAGTGCTTTATGTCATTTAACCTTCTCCAGAAACCTATAAGGTAGTCAGCATTAGCCTCCTCATTTTATGGATAAGACAGTGGAAAATTATACAGCTTAAATAACATTTTTGAGCCTCTGCAACCAGTGAGTTACCAGGCCAGCACTCAGAACTTAGTCCCTTAACTAAAAAACCCATGGGTCTTACCTTCGTGTACTGCCGTCGTTAGGCCTGGGGATACAGGTTAAGGAAAGGTGTCTGACTGTGCCTGAGTTCCTGTCTTCTGTACAAAGCACATTCGATTTTTTATGACTTCATTTTGACTTCTCTATGGCTCTTCTCTGGCCTGCTGGTGTGGATAATTAAGGGTTGGATGTTCAGAAAAGTTACCAGCCCACCCCTTCCTCGGGGAGCTTTCAGGTAGTAAAACAAACAACATTGGTATTCTTTACTACTTGTCCAACATTACACACCCTGGTGAGCTGGTAAGTGGCTATTTATGTGACAGTTTTTTAATGACTATCAGGTTCCTTCCTGTGTCCAGAAACAACACCTGGGTTAAAGCCCTGAACCTGTAAATCACAGCAATTATAGGGGACACGATTTAGATCAAAGGGAACAAAATCAATTCTGCTTCTGGATTGTTCAAATCTCATAGCTGCTTTTCACTATCCAATGCAGAGCTTCTAAGACTGTCTTTTTGTTTGTTTGTTTGTTTGTTTTTTAGTATATTTACATTTTCTGGTTTTTTGTTCAGATTTTAATGGATTTACTCTAGACATTGAGGACACGTCTGCTGCCGTGAAGGGAAGAAAGTAATTTGGGGTAATTCTGGATAATTAGATATCTAATTTTGGCTTCGTACTTTTTTAAAAGCATTTTTTTTTTGTCTTTTTGAAGCAGGGTGTCCCTGTAGCTCCAGCTGGCCTGGAACTCACTATGTAGACTAGACAGACTGGCTTTGAACTCACAGAGATCCTCCTGCCTCTGCCTCCCAAGTGCTGGGACTACAGGCGAGTACCACCACACCCTGCCTAAAGCAGTTTAAAGCAGTGACTCCAAATAGGCTAGTGAACCCTAACAGTATGGCCAGCAGTCCTCAGAAGGCCCACTTCTAACGTTGCCTTTTTGAACTTTGTATTATTTTGCGCTTATACTGTGCATAATGTATCTGTGCATCATCACATGCTTGTCTATTAATTTATGTAACTACTTTATGCTCAGTTTTAGCTCTTAAGGGTATATTACCAGATTAAGAGCATGCTCAGCTCATCGATTAATTTGGCTGATGGAGTTTGCCTTTCTAATATATACTCTTTGCTGGCGCCCCACTGTGTTTGTGTATAATGCGTCTGATCATAATCATTCGTTGTGAGATAACTGTGTTGTGGTCCATTTGGTTCTGTGCCACTCTTAGAGGCACAAATACATCTTGACTGCCTCTTGACTGCATGTATGTGGGTCATGTCTCCTGCCCAATCCTGTCTCTGCGAGTTTTTTTCCAGAGCAGTTGTAGTGCTGCTAGAGTTTCAGGACTGAATCAGTCCCTTTTCACATCTTCTGTAGTGGCCTCAGAGTCCTGCCGTTCACTTTCGGGATTGTATGAATGGCTTCAGCGTTATCAGGCATTGTGGTTCTCTGAAGACAGCACAGGTACTTAGACCCTCCTGCAGAAATATATTGAGTTGAAGATGAGAATAGCTTTGTTAGAGGGAATGGTGTTTAGTCATCAGACGTTTCCCTTTGCAAAGTGTGAGCCAGTCTTATGGCTGATTCAGCCAATTCCTTAACTTTGGGTGGGGTTTCCTGATGAGAGAAAGAGAAGATCTTTTTATCACTCTCTGTGGGCCTTTCCGTTAATGATGTGAATGAAAACACTGGTTGAGAAATTGAGGCGGATGTCATAGTGGTTATTGTTCCTTAAAGGCTGATCTAGCCTACCATTCAGATGCATCCCTGGAGCATTGTGGGATGACTACAGGGGATTAAATCAAGAGAGGGGGCTATTTTGGATGGAAGTGGTGGAGAAAGTCCTATTTTTGGCATCTTGACTGTGATGGCAGGAGGAGACCGTTTTAGGAGGGATATTGGTAATAAATGTTCCTTTTTGATTTTTTTGAATGGTAAGAAAGAAGGTGAGAAAGGCAGAACATTCAGAGCGAGGCAGAGATGTGTGTTGGGATGAGCTTCAGGGTGTTGTGTTTTCATCATCTGGACTTTCACATGTTACTTCTTTGCTGTGACTTGCTCCTGTTGGGGTGGTGAAGAAAAGCTAGAGGCAGGGAGCAAGCTAAAATCTGGCATACACTCCCGTGTCTGCTGTAACTGCAGTCCCTGACTCTCCTGAGGTCACCTGAGAAAACCTGTGAGGAGGGTACGAAATGTGGCACACTCAGAACTGAGCAGCCTCATTTTATTTAGTGGAGCGGCCCATTCGCTGTGCAGTGCAATGCTTTTGTATACAGTAAATTAGGAAAAATGAATGCAACAGAAGTGTGCAGAACCTAGAATTCATCTCTGTTAGAATACGTCAGTACAAAGTCAACAGAACTGACATGCTTTGACAGGTTCTGTTGTACTATTTATGAGTAGCTTCTGTTGCAGAGCTCGATTTAAAAACCTAACATGGATGGAGGAGGGTGACTGCTTTACGTCTGTGAGGGCAGCTAATAATCAGCTTCACTTATATCCAAGGCAGTCTGATAACAGGGGAGAGGCCTTGAGTGGCCTGAATTACACTTGAATTTCAAACTGTTTTCTGGGCCCAGTGTTGTCATGACAGAAGAGTGCTAGAGTAGACAGTGAGGATTCCTAACGGTGACGTTGAAAGTGTGGGCTTAGAAAGCTGTCACTGGCCTGTAGTTGCTCTCACCTTCTGAGTGGTCATCTTGTACCTTAAATGACTGGAACAGTGAACCTAAAATCCACATCTATCTGGATTACCCTTAGTTGGATCTTCCAGTGACATGTCCATGCACAGGCTAGGATGGCACATGTAGTTTGTTAGGTCCTGGCTTCTGTTATTCTAGAAATGCAAAGTTGCTTGGCATTCCTGATCCTCATCCTTGGCAAACGTTCGTGCAGTTTCAGGCTCTATGCCTGAAGTGCTTGCTCTTCTCTCTGCCCCACTGCTCCTCCACCTGGTTAAATGCTGTTTTCTACAGGACTCATTTGGGACATCATTTCTTCCAGGACACTTTCCCTGCCCTGTCAGGTCTTCACTCTGTGTCCCAACATTCCCGGAGTTTCTTTTACTGTTACATCAGCCCCCTCTTATTACAATGGTAAATAGAACTTCTTCCCAACAGCACTGTGAGCTCTTCGACGTCAGAGAACACTGGTAATTTATTTGTATTCCCAGTGCCCAGAACAGAGTATGGCATGTTGTTCTATAAACTGCTGAACTGAAGGGCAGGAAATATAAAATACAACTATTGAAGACCTGGGCAATTTAGGAAGCCACTTTGAACATGCACTAATTTTATTTTTTTCATATTTTATTTTATTAATTTTTACTTTATTTTATGTGTATGCATGTATTGCCTGCATGTAGGTAAGTGCACCCATGTCATGCAATGCCCACGGAGGACAGAAGAGGCTGTCGGATCCCCTGGGACTGGAGTTATGGACAATTGTTAGTTGCCAGCTGCCATGTGGGTGCTGGGATTTGAACCTGGGACTTCTGCAAGAACAGCCAGTGTTCTTAACTGCTGAGCCATCTCTCCAGCCCCGAACATGCACTAATTTTAAACTACTATATAATGTGCTTTCTGTATAATGTGCTTTCAGGAAGATCTTTGGACTTGCCTTCAGTGATAAGGAAAATTATATGCCTGTGTTGAATTTTTATAGTCATTTATAAGAACAATTTAAAGGTTGTTGCTTTTATCTCTTTGGTGTCTTTGCATTTTCTCCATAGAAGAGGGCCCAAATAGAAAGAAGCCCTGAGCCACTAGGTCATCAACTGCTCAAGTAGACTGTCAGTGAATGAAAGTGCTTACACTAGGTACTTCCTATTGCATGCATGAGCTTTGTGACTACATGGATCTTGCTTTATTTATTGTGCCTTTACTTTTTTCAAATAGGAGAACAGAGGAAGTTAGGGTTTTTTTTTTTTTTTCTTTTAAAGCCAATTGGAGGAAGGTGGGCAAGGTGACATATGTCTGTAATCCCAGCACTTGGTAAGCAAAGGCAGGAAGATCAAGAGTTCCAGGCCATACTGGCCTGTGCAGTGAGTTCTAGGCTAGCCTGGTCTACATAGCAAAGCCCTATATCAAAAAGCAAAGAATAAAATAAACCAAATCAAATCAAATCTTTATTTCAAATGATTTAGTAGCTCAGGGCTTCTTTTTTACCATCCTCCAAAAAACAGCTTTTATTTATTTTTTAAGGGTTTTTTTATTTTTTCATGGCATACTTCTACTTTGCAGCTCCATGGACCTTGCTATCTTTGTTGTGTGCAGGGGAAGTGAGTTTAAAAAATAAACAAACAAGCAAATCCCTCTTCTGTGATGTTCCCTGAGGCGCCTCTCTCTCTCTCTCTCTCTCTCTCTCTCTCTCTCTCTCTCTCTCTCTGCATGTGTGTAAGTTGTAATATAGATATCTCATTTA